AGGTCACTGGGGGTCACAATACTAAAATGTCGTGTGATACATGTTTCATGGCCCATTTTACAAAGCAAATGCGATTATGTGAGTCAGACAGCCTTTGGAGCCAGTTTAGGCTACGTTCTGGTCAAGGTCAGGTCAAATTAGGTCAAATACAGTTCAAATTTTTTTTTGCAAAAAACGGGTATCGATTCGATGCAGCTCGTCACGGTGACGGGGCGTCTAATGGTGGTCTTTGTTTTGCGCTACGTGGTCTAGAATTGACAAAAATCGAGTTTGAAAATTCGACGTCATTATTTTGAACAGTTTTTTCGCTATAACTTCGCCAAAAAAAAGAGAGATCAATCTGAAATTTGGTATGTAGATAGAAGACGGTAGGTACTATCATACAGGGTGTCCCATAAGTTCGTTCTCACATTATATTTGCATGAAAAACAGAGTACATTACGGTTTGATATATTTATGACACGTCAATGTGCTCCTCATTTCATGGGCAAACACATGAATACATGCTGCGGCATGCCAACCGGCATGTTTGGCAGCGTAGCAGGCTTCAAGTTAGCTCATACTGACTTGACATTCGCCGTGAGCACCTGGAGGCTGGAACAGCGCTTCGCTTCGACGAGCCACGATTTCAGTATCCCCAACGCATTTTCATGAAATTTGGATCCCATGAAATTCCTGACATGTGATCTTGCGACAGATGCTTTCACACTCTTCTGGCACCGCTTGTGAGCTTTCCTTGACCTGTTCGCCGATGCAGTGTCTCGCTTGAAGATGGGCCTACGACCTCACGGGTGCCATTTTCTCCTCCAAAAATGTTTTCATATTTGCGGTTTGAGTTAACCCGCGCCCCGTAGGGCTATCGGCGGACCCTACCACCCGTAGGGGGGGGGGACCGAAACGGCCCCCCCCCCCCCCTAAGATCTCGGAAATGTACCTGCCGATTTTTAAAATTCAAACGGCGTTCAATAGCCCCACCCGGGAACTACCTTGTGATCAAATTTTATTGACCTAGGTCAAACCAATGACGTCACAGGTCAGGTCAAAGGTCGGATTTTCACCGTTCACAGGCATTTCAAGAAATGTGTTGTAAAATCGAATAAATTGGTAAGTTATTGAAAACCATCGATGGTACATTGTTCGTCAAACTCATACTTCGCTATCTGAGGTCACTGATACCAGGTCAGGTCACAGAGGTCAGGTCACTGGGGGTCACCTGGGGGTCACAATATAAAAGTGTCGTGTGATACATGTTTTATGGTCCATTTTACATGACAAATGCTATTATGTGGGTCAGGCAGCCTTTGGGGCCAGCTTAGGTCACGTTTTGGTGACGGTCAGGTCAAGGTCAGGTCGAATTAGGTCAAATTTCAAAGTTGATATTTTGCATAAAATGGGTATCCATTCGATGCAGCTCGTCACGGGGAGTCTAATGGTGGTCTTTGTTTTGCTCTACGTGGTCTAGAATTGCCAAAAATTGAGTTTGAAAATTTGACGTCATCATTTTTGAACAGTTTTTTCGCTATAACTTGGCCAAAAAACAGGATATTGATCTGAAATTTGGTATGTAGATAGAAGACGGTAGGTACAAACACATATATTCCGTTTTTTTTCGAAACTCAAAAAACTTTTTGGATTTTTTGGCAAATATATCCGAAAAATTGCTTTTTTATTTTTGGGGTCAAAACTAAAAAATTTCAAAAATCCGAGATGGCAGTTTTGTAGCCCTGTTAATTCTACACCTTTTATGTCTTGATCATTTTTCTGTATCTTCAAAGCTGTAGGCCTGACAGCTCTTCTCGCGAAAGTCTTTTTTCGGTCGAAAATGGCAGAACATGACGTCACTCTGACGTCATTTGTGGCCAACCTATCATAGCCTCGGGAAAAATGTTTGGTCACAATGTGTAAAATTGATGCCCGGAGGGGTCCTGAAAGTTTGGTGGCGATACCCCAAGCCGTTTAGGAGATATCGACGGAAAAGGACAGGGGGGGCCGTTTCGGCCCCCCTCGTAGGGGCCGAAACCCGCCCCCTACGGGGCGGGTTTCGGGTTTCTAGCTTAACCCGCCCCCTACGGGACGCGGGTTAAGCTAGAGCGCTGAGATTCCATCAAGATCTTCTTGGAGAAATATTCTGCATCCCATAACTGTTTCTGGAGTACCAACCGCATCCTGGTCAGCGTCTGGGCGTCTATGTATAACCCCACAATACCGTGACCCTGACCTTTTGCATAGGAAGTGGGACAAAACGGAGGCTTTCTCTTTCGCCTTTATGGGACCGTTTTAGGGTTTGAAGGAGTGTGTCATCTCGAACATGGACTAGGTAGTTCAGATGACCACATTGATGTCATCGGCCCTACAGATTTTTAGCCTCAGGCATAACAAAACACATGCTTGGCCATTTTAACCCTCGCCCGTATAGGGGGTGGGGGTCGAACGGACCCCCCCCCCCCCCCATGGTTTTTCGCGAATAACTCGCGTAAAAAGCGGCCGATCGCGACGAAACTTTCAGTACCCTCGCGTTAATCAATTTTACACCTACCCTGAAAATTTCATGACCCTGACCCCAATGACCTTTGACCTGTGACCTACTTTTCGAGACCATGTTTGGCCGGAATCGCGATTCGACGTATGTCGGCTCGCATTAGCCGCGCGTTTGCAGTCTTTTCGTGGTTTCAAGCGTTCAAACATGTGATATGATGTTGCCCCCATGCATTAGGGTGGGTGTCAAGGTCACCTGAAGGTCAGGTCAGGTCATTGACCTTTGGTGACCTCGGTTCACTTTTTGAGTTTTACATGTTTCTAGGCCAGTTTTTGGAGCTGAATTCGAATTTAGCAACCATATGAACATTTACGAAGTAGTTTTGGTGCCTTCGTAACATGTTACGAAGCTGTCAGAGGCGGTTGACACCTACTAGGAATACCCGGCAAGACCCCTACTGGTTGACCTGACCTGACCTGACCCGACCTGGACTAAATGCATAAAGACATCATCTGTGATCAAAACTAACATGATATTCGTGATCAGCGCCCCGAAAAACCCCATAGCAGCCACACTTTACGACGTTCGAACAGGTCCCGATTTTCCGACTTTCGGGTCATTGACCTGACCTGCAAGGTCAACCAATGACCTAGGACCTTAAAATTAGGCATCATCGGCTTCCTCTCGTCACGGGCAACACGCTCGTTTTTTCCGCGAAGCTCTAGCTCGATTAGGGGCGAAACGGCAAGGGGGGTCCAACGGACCCCCCCCCCCCTTATACGTTCGCGGCTGGAAAAACACCAATACGGGCGAGGGTTAAGACATTTTCGACTGTTTTGAGTCTTCTGGTAAGTCTTGCGCTTAATAAGTTATGTACCCCGAAAAAATATTCTTCGACAGCTGATAATCCATTCTGAAAAAAAAAAAAAATCTTACCAAATTTCAAACATTTTTACCTTTTTGATTGCCACTTTGACGCCAGACAGTTTTGGCCACGTCGCTCACAACATCGAAAAATGCTTTAATTCGGAGATATGGAATTTCAAACTTGCAGTTCTCGGATTCTAAGGGGCTAATGCATTGCAATGCCCCCTTAGAATTTGTGACGTCAGCGGAGATCTAACGATTTTTAAATCTTTTACTAAAACGTTTGGTAGCACGCGGTGGTATATGCTGCTTTGCGCGCAACAAATGCCGCACTTTCAAATCAAGTCGCTAGGAACAGCGGAGATCCCAAAAAGTAAACAAAAGTAAAAGTCTAATATCTTGAAAACCGGTGAATATTTTTCGATGAAATTTGGTAGATATTCCTTTTCGCTCTTTCTGAACCGAGCGACATCACTTTCATGCCAATTCATTAACTTTTTTGAAGGTGGGAGGGCCCCTTTAAGCAAGAGAGCCTTTCAACGTAAAATTTAGGTGAGAACGAACTTATGGGACACCCTGTATATATTCCGCTTTCATCGAAATTAAAAAAAAAAGAATTTTTGGCTAATATATTCCAATAATAACCTTTTTGATTTTGGGGGGTTTAAATCCAAGAATGTCAAAAATCCGAGATAGCAGTTTTGTAGCCCTGTCAATTCTACACCTTTTATGTCTGGATTATTTTTCTGTAGCTTCAAGGCTGTAGGCCTGACAGCTCTTCTTGCGAAACCTTTTTTTTTTGGTCGAAAATGGCAGAACATAACGTCATTCTGACGTCATTTGTGGCCAGCCTATCATAGCCTCTGGAAAAAAGGTCACAATGTCTAAAATCGATGCCCGGAGGGGTTCTGAAAGTTTGGTGGCGATATCTGCAGCCGTTTAGGAGATATCCACGGAAAAGGACAGGGGGCGTTTCGTCCCCCCCCCCCCCTTACGGGGCGCGGGTTAATATGAAACTGCCTTACATGCTAAAATCCTCAAAGATAAATATTCGCGAAGACTGACAGGCACCCGCTAACGTCATCTTTTCAAGGTCACCGATGTAAACAAACGACCAACTGTGCTACCTCTTATATAAGATCTTGGGTCTACCCACAGCACTGGACCCGATGACATGTGGCAGCCACCGGACTCTCGCGAGCGTTGTGTTCACTCTCTCCCAACACGCGAGCTACGTCACCACAGGACGACGTTCGCCAGGCCACCTAGCCCGCGTGCTTACCCCTGAACTCACCAGCAAAGGGCATATCAATCAAGTAATGAAAACTATTTTAGCAATACTAAATAGATCCATTTCAATATGACACTGTTGTGTGTGATCGGATACGATTGGCATACCCATTCATTATTACAACCAAATTGGGTGCCTTGCCTGGATTATGGACACATTTTTTACTATTGGCATTAAGCATTTTTCTAGGGTCGACTCGCAACCATTTCCATTGATCTTACGACAGTCAAGCTACCCTTTTGTACGAGGTGAAATCCACCAATTTTCCGTGGGGGACACCTGTCAAACATGCCCCATGACCGAATGGCCCTCCTTAGCACGCTGTCCGGTGCCGTCTACGGACCCCTCGTCCCACACAGTACTCACAGTTGGCGTACAAGAAGATCAGGCCGGTGACCATCAGCACCGGGTGCCAGTTGAACTCGACGGCCGGGTTGGCCTGCCAGGCGAACCCGCCGCGGAAGTGGCCCACCCACGCCACCGTGAGGATGACGGCCAGCGCGCCTGCGCAGCGGCACGAGCCGTTAGCCAGTAGAAAGTTCACTGTTACGGGTGGACTCAGTTTGCGGCATGCCGTTGGCTCATCCATGATATGATGAATATTGAGACGATCAGGCACTAGACAGTATTATTTCGCTAAAGCTAAAAGGCAGATACACTTAGCACGAACAACTGAAATGAGCTCAAACCAATGTTATAGCATACCTGCTGCGCTATTTTTAATAGTTCATATGCATAGTTCATACGCCACAAAGATAATAGCCAAATGTCATTACCTGATATCACTGTCAGTCACAGAACATGGTAAAAAAAATTCCAGGCAACAAAATATGTGACAGACCTAAGCTAATGATAAAATACCCAGCTATGCTGTGTCCGAACAAGAAAGTTAATTAGGTACTTAATCTAACAGCACCAGTACCTACTAGATCAATACATAAATTGAATGTTACCTACTCCCGCGCCGGGCCGGGGGGGGGGTGTTTGAACACCCCCCCCCCTGCCGTTTTTCACAAATGTCTCAAAAAACGGCGGTGGCACACCTGTTCGTGCATCTTTTCCGCAAATGTTGTGAAAATTTCAGACCAAGGTCGCCTTAGTTCAGGTCACCAGGTCACGCCAAGTGACCTCACCCCAGAAAAAAAAATAAGAATGCTCGTCATAGCTACACCGACTGATCGATTGCCTTGAAACTTTCAGCGATTGATGAGAGCAACATTATCTATAAAATGTTTATCTCGGAATTTTGATATCGGTGACCTAAGGTCAGGCCAATTATGCGGCCTCTCCATTATAAGTCAATGGGAGAAAATTGAAAAGAGTCTGTTTTGCACGAACGCTATTCTAGACACTCTCAAACATCGAGATGTAGGTAAAATTGACACACTGAACCGGAAAATGGCAACTGTGACCCCTCGTTACGCCCCCGAGGTCATCTCAGGTCACGAACAGAATCTAACAGTTTTTCGCTAATGACTTCTGCTAGAGGCGTGCTAGAGCGCTGAAAACGCCTTAGATGTGTTCGGCTCGACGTTGCGGATCGACTGATATGCAACATGACCTTTTCCGGTCAGGTAATGACCTTGATCTGAGGTCAAGTTTTCAAGTTGACCTTAAGGTCAAATTATAGTTCATTCGACGCGTCTCGACGAGAGTAACACGAGGCTGGCAAAAGTAATGTCATGGCTCTTTGAGTCAAAAGTTATTGCCGAAAAAAACGTTTTTCGTAAAAACGGCTATTTTTGGAGTTATTGCACTCTGGAGGCTAAACCGGTTGACCTGAGGTCAAATCTGACTCTGAGAACATTACTCAAAAAGGTCTGTAAAAGGGCTATCGAATGCGCTTTTCCGCGGCGCTGTAGCTCTATCGGCTCCCGAGATAGCCGTCGGCAGTTTCCAAAATGTTGAAATAGTCAACATTTTACCTTTGGTGACCTCTGGTGACCTGACGTTTGACCTGACCCAATAAATGACCGAAGTGTTTTCAACCTTATTTGGACGTTATTTCGATTGCCGCTTACCGCGTGTCGCTACGTGGCCCAGGAGCCGAGTTAGAAGGGGGGTGTTCAGACCCCCCGCCCCCGGCCCGGCGCGGAATCTCAGAGCACCGGCCCGGCGCGGGCATATTGGACACATTGAATTGACAATAACCCAAAATACATTAGTAAGTAAAGTTAATACATATCTTTTACAAATTTCCAAATCACTCAGCATTGTAATATGTTTGTAATACACGTTTAATTTCATAATGTATTAAGTGCCAGTGATGGCAACAAATAGTGATTTGTTGTCATCATATCATACATACCACATATTTCTGCCAAGGAGAAGGTCAGTGTAAAGCCCCTGAGATCTGAAGCAGTATCCATGCCAAATATCTGAAACAAATTGTTCAGTCAGCAGGTTTACAAAATATATGTACTGGGGTTACATGAGCGATCTATACCAGAACTGTATTACGCTTACAAGTATGAAGTATCTGCTCCTCAAACACGTATTTACAGCACCAGCTGCATGAGACAAATTTGTATTAGTGACATCTAACAGACCTACACCATTTTACACTTAGGGTGTGTTTGATGTCTCCTCAGGCGAAGAACATTCTGTTGTCCAGCCGAGTCGAGCACACTGTGGTAGCTCTTTCACTTATCGAGACCTTTCTATTATTTGAAACATTTCCAATTTTGACATCTCATCTGTTCCAAAAATGGAAACCTTTGTTCCATAAATAGAAATGCTAACATCTTGGTATTATTACAGAAAGATTCCGATCAAGGTCATTATAAAAGCCATACGACATGATACATTTTGACCTCCTGAGCTCATCTGATAATTATTCATGGCGCAACCAAGTGGAATACACGCATGCAAATTGCAATAGTTACCGTCACCAACAGATGCCTTGCGCTCCTCCTGCCACCATCACCCGCGTTGAAAGGATAAACTTCAAGGTTCAGTGAAAAGATGCATTACATACAGATGATATTCAGTTTCGTTATGAAAGTGACATAATAAAAATACTTGTGGCGGAGCAGTGCAGTACCGAAGGCAATACCTTAGGAGAGATTACAATTTACAAGTAATTGTAAGTCAAATATTTTTAGGTTAAGCGGTTGTGTATCTGGCTTCAGGCCGAAGAAAACGGAGGACAAATATGAATGTAGTTACCACGACTCTGGGGGCCGAAAAAAACCAGGTTGCCATAGTCACAGGGCAAATTTGGCATGAGTATGCATCTTTCAAATATCTCATTTTTTGATGACCCCCTGCCTTAGAGGTCGGGTTCAATACTAAAACATAACCTAAGCGCAGCAGCTTGGGCACAATTTTAAGTCGACTAAAACAAGTTCCCAGAAATTTCTGGACAAATGTGGTCCAAAGTGGGTGATACATAAGGCAGACCTATCATTTCAATTTATAAAATTGAAATAGATGTTACACATAAGATAGCATGATAAAATTCATCGTCAGAATACGACGGTATTTGGTTTGACGACCGTGCAGACCTTATCTCCAACCTGCTTTTCACAAATTTGCACTGAGGTTGACATCGATCACAGCCTACGATTCTATTCAGCACATTTGAAATATCATAAAATCAGGGGCTCCGCCACAGGGGGGTACGCGGGGGTCCGGACCCCCTCAATAATTCCCATGGGGGGTACAGTACCCCCCAATATTCCGAATACCTGTAACCTTGTTTTGCGTTAGAATGACTAAATCATTCACAGAATGTGTTGAATAATTTAATTAGAATGTGTTGATGGTCGCAAAGCTAAGGAATTTAAGATCTAGAATTGTAGGGAAACACGAAGATGTTGTGACACACGAAGTGCTCAACAATCGCCGACCTATACTTATGGGAGTGTCATTATTCTACCATTTTGTTATTACTATGAATGCGTTTAAGATTGCTAGGATTAACTTAGCATGCTAGAATTTGGCAATAATTTCGTGAGAGGGGTCCAGCTTGCAGGACACCTCCTAGACACAACATCCGCCCCAAAAGAGCTTCAAATCGATCTGAGAACCCTCTTTCCATGTGAGATCACCCGATAGTGTGTATGTGTGTGTGTGGGGGGGGGGGGGGGGTAAGCCGGTCTTTCGAGCACCATACTAGTCTGAGAGCCTAATGCGCTGTCTGATGGCTAACACCGCCCAATTGGAGCGCTCAACAGCGGCCTCCTTTCCTTAAGAACGTTGATTTAAGAGGCCGCCATGTCGGTGTCATTGAGCTCCGCTTCTCGGTTTTCGACTCCTCTTGCAAACTGAACCTTGTTTTTTCGGTTCATAAAGCAAAATCCTCCCGATAGAATTGTTAAGGTTCCTTTGAACTCTAGAAAAAATGGCAATTTTTCATCGATTTCGGGAGCTGCAGGGGGGTGGGGTCAGGGGTGGGGGTGGGGGATAGGGGTGGGGGTGAATTTGCCCAAAATGCCCACCTTGGATCCGCCAGCGAGGTTTTGTGTTTTTGGTCGGACCCCCCCAATCCCAAAACCGTGGCGGAGCCCCTGCATAAAATGCCCACTTTAGTCTCCATATAGGGCTCAACGACAACTTACATGCGATTCAATCAAAGATTGACGATCAGCAGCCGCCGGCACACTTGCACACATGTAACGGAAGCTGGCACAGATTCAACACGTTCAAGAAGTGCGTCAAGTGATGATCAACGCGATCAGCATGTTTATTAATCCCACCCAGAAATGACGAACAGGGCCTCTGATTGGCCAGTTTTGGCTGACAGACGCAGAATATTTGTCAGGCATAGAATACTATGCTTAAGCACCTTTTCAATAATGACGCATACATTACATTCACAAGTTTGGGCAGCTAAAATATTGTAATGGATCTAACATTTTGAATTTAACATTTTTTGGAAGCCCGTACATATTGTTTCTCAGGGGCGGATCCAAAGGGGTCATGGCCCCCCCTTGAGGCCCGGGGGCCCAAAGACCTGCCAGGGGCACCACCGGCCTATCAGGGGTATCACAGTCCTGACAGGGGCACCACAGGACCGCCAGGGGCACCACAGGCCTAGCAGGGACACCACGGGCCTGGTGCCCCTGGGCCCTGACAGGACTGTAACGCCCCTGACAAGCCTGAAGTGTCCCCGGCAGGCACGTGGTGCCCCTGACAGGCCTGAGGCGCCCCTGCAAGGCCGGTGGTGCCCCTGGCAGGCCTGTGGTGTCCATGGCAGGCCTGTGGTGCCCTTGCTAGGCCTCTGGTGCCCCTGACAGGCTTGTAATGCCCCTGGAAGGACTGTGGTGCCCCTGGGCCCTGACAAGCTTGAGGTGCCCCTGACAGGCCAGTGGTGCCCTTGCTAGGCCTGTGGTGCCCCTGGCAGGCCTCTGGTGCCCCTGACAGGCTTGCGGTGCCCTTGGAAGGACTGTGGTGTCCCTGGGCCCTGACAAGCCTGAGGTGCCCCTGACAGGCCCGTGATGCCCTTGTTAGGCCTGTGGTGTCCCTGGCAGGCCTCTGGTGCCCTTGCTAGGCCGCTGGTGCCCCTGGCAGGCCTCTGGTGCCCTTGCTAGGCCGCTGGTACCCCTGCGCCCGGAGAGGACTGGTGCCCCTGAAAAGTCTGAAGTGCCTCTCGACAGGCCCGTGGTGCCCCTGGGCCCTGACAGGCCCAAGTTACCCCTGCGAGGTCGGTGGTGCTCCTGGCAGGCCTCTGGTGCCCCTGGCAGGTCTGTGGTGCCCCTGGCAGGTCTGTGGTGCCCCTGACAGGCCCAAGGTGCCCCTGGCAGACCTCTGGTGCCCCTGGCAGGTCTGTGGCGCCCCTGGCAGACCTGTGTTGACTGGTGCCCCTACTAGGTCGCTGGTGCCCCTCACAGACCTGTGGTGCCCCTGGGCCTTGACAAGCCTGAGATGCCTGGCTATGACAGGCTCGTGGTGTCCCTGATAGACCAGTGGTGCCCTTGCTAGGCCTGTAGTGCCCCTGGCAGGCCTCTGGTGCCCCTGCTACCCCTGCGCCCGGAGGGGACTATGGTGCCCCTGAAAAGCCTGAAGTGCCCCTCTCGACAGGCCCGTGGTGCCCCTGGGCTCTGACAGGCCCAAGTTACTCCTGCGAGGTCGGTGGTGCTCCTGACAGGCCTCTGGTGCCCCTGGCAGGTCTGTGGTGCCCCTGGCAGGCCTGTGGTGCCCCTGGCAGGCCTGTGGTGCCCCTGGCAGGCCTGTGTTGACTGGTGCCCCTGCTAGGCCGCTGGTGCCCCTCACAGGCCTGCGGTGCCCCTGGAAGGACTGTGGTGCCCCTGCCCCTAGGGGTACTCATGGGCCCAACAGGCCCGTTGTGCCCCTTCCTGTCGTGTATACTTGCTAGACCTGTGGTGCCCCTGCTTCCTGGCGGGCCTGTGGCGCCCCTACAAGGCCGTAGGTGCCCCTGACAGGTTTGTGGTGTCCCTGGAAGGACTTTGGTGCCCCTGACAAGCCTGAAGTGTCAAGGACAGACCCTTTAGACGCCAGGGTCAAGTTCGTCGGACTGACAACGATTTGCTTACCTGATAACGTTCCTGGTAAGTACTCACTACTCAGCGTCCACAACATATATACCCGTAACATATACACATAGCACATTCATATATACTTGCTTACTAAGATATACTTACTAAGAGTTAAGATACTGACTAAAAATAAAAAATAAAAATAAAAAAACTGAAAATGGGGGCACCACCAAAATGAAGTGGACGAAATCCGTTGAGTTTTTAATTTTGGGTATAGGTAGGGGCACCACTTCGATTCATGACCCTCCCCTTGGAGTTTTCCTGGATCCGCCCCTGTTGTTTCTAGTGAGTTAGGTGTTAAAAAGTATGAGAAGACATGATTTTTTTCTTTTTAGTTAAGAACTTTAGCTTTTCGCCACGAACATCCGCCCGACAGTCTTCAGAATCCTGCGTACGGGGACACTGCAGCCTCGGTTCCTTATGTTATCGCAATGGGGAAAAAGTGAAATTTTAAATGAGGCAGTATCGTGCAGAGGCGGATCCAGCTCAGAGTTTTTGGGGAGGCAAACCATAACAATTTATCGATTCTTTCCATGCACCGTCCATAGGCGTAATGTTAAAATTATGCCGTTTGGGGGGGCAAATGTCCATTTTGCCCCCCCCCCCCCCTGGATCCGCCACTATACTTAAGAAATACGGATACTTTCAAAACTAGATACCATTCAATTCAAATTCCAGAATATCTTTCGGCGGAACTAGTCCTTCTCAGCCTGTCGGCCCATTCTCTAACGCTACAAGCATGGGTGGAGAACCTGCCCCCTGCAGCCCCGGCCACCCCGGCCGTGGCCGGGGTAACTTTCAGCCGACCCCGGCGCGGCCGGGGTAACTTTTTCCACTTTTGTAAATCATAAAGCTGTCTCCATACGAAAAACTGCCATCTATAAAAGCGTCTCTCATTATTCTTATCTACCTTGAAAAGTTCTTAAATTTTTACTTTATTTTCATTTTGGAGCTTCTATGTTTTTAGTCTTTTCATCGCGGAACCCGACATGTTTCATCAAACAGAAGTAAATCATATTTAAGGGCCGTTATCGTAAGTTGGCACTGTAATAACATCACAAGACAGGACGGGGGTAATATCAGTGAGATAGAAGGACGAGCTGCTGGGGCTCAACTGGCTCCCCCAACTTAACCCGCGCCAGGGTGATGGCCCTATCGTAACACGTTGAGTCGAGAGGTGTGCTCTTCACGCTCCTTCTAACTCGGCTACTGGGCTACGAGGCGAGAAGCGGAACGACGTTTGAAAGAGCGACAAACGTGATCAGAGAAATCTGGTCATGTTTTAGGCAAGCTCAATAATAAAATCACCATAGATCATCAAAGGTCAAATTTCTCAGATTTTAGCGTTCTCCGACAACTTTTCTCACAGTTCATGAACACAACGGAGCTTAAACACTGCAAACAAAACATTCGATTACTCGTTTAACCCGCGCGGGGCTGGGGGGGTAAATTTTACCCCCCCTCGCGAATTTTTGCGATATCTCAAAAACGGCGGCGCGCAGCGCCGCCAAACTTTCAGTACCTTTTCTTACATTAATTTGACACGTTCCCTGAA